GTCAAACTCAAAGTCTGACACGGGCCACATAAACAAAAAAAACCCAAAAACTTAAATTTTCATAGAAACATAGGTTTATTTGAAAAAGTACACTATAAAAAAAAAAACAGCATCCCCCTCTACTAAACCACAGCACCCCCCTCTACTTAATCCCGGTCCCCCCCTCTACTAAACCACAGCACCCCCCTCTACCAACCTGTGCCAAATCTGATCCTCCCTCTGACACACACACATACTCACTGACAGACACACACACATACTTACTGACAGACACACACACTCACTGACAGACACACACACTGACAGACACACACACACTCACTGACAGACACACACATGTTCACAGACAGACACACACACTCACTGACAGACACACACACACACAGACACACACACACACTCACTGACAGACACACTGACAGACACACTGACAGACACACACGCTGACAGACAGACACACACATACTCACTGAAAGACACACATACACATACTCACAGACAGGCACTCAGTGAATATTAAAATAAATTAAAAATAAATAAATAATGAAAAACCATTAACCCCTTTCCTTTCCTCTCCCTCCATTTCCATGTACTTACCCGATCGCCACCGTTGTTCTTCTTCACTGGGGGGACTGTCTGACAGCCCAGACAGTTGCACGTCGGCAAATTAGAACCCCCAGGCTGCATGTGATTGCTCTGAAAGAGTGGTCACATGGCCGCCATAGGCGTCCATAGTGCTGCCAGCATGGGGACTGCCAGAACTGACAGGCAGTCCCTCTGCTGGTGAAAATAGTTTAAAAAAAAAAAAAGTTTTAATATAAAAAAAAATAAAGTTGATAAATTAAACAAGTAGCAAGAGAGGTGAGAACGGACAACAGCTCAATTGGCCTGCCTTTTGGTGGATCCCTGTTCATATCTCAAGCTGGTTTTAGCTTATCTGTGCGCGCTACCCAGCATGGCTGTGTGAGTCATGGTGTCCCCCAAACTGGGCCAGATATACTTTAAAGGGTTAATCCAACCAAAAACAGTGTTTTAATAAAACATTGTTTTTGAGTGGAGTACCCCTTAATAGCTTGCCTTACGCTCTCCCCTCCACCCCCATTAAAATAAGGACATAAAGCAAATTTAATTAAACACTTCCTCTGTGTTTGTTGGTGACATGACAAGCAGCATCCCCCACATGTTCAACCATACAAGCATCCTCCAAAGATCATATTTATGCAGCCAGCCAGGCCCCTGACTGCCTCGGGCCCTCGGTCCATGACCGATCTGCCGAGTGGTCACTCCGCCCCTGCCCTAGTCTGTAAACTAATATATCCGAACCCCCCAAAACTCTCAACATATCTAATCCCCCCAGCCTGTCAAGTAATATATGTAAATTCCCCCAGGCGGTCATCTAATATATTTTATCTCTCTCCAGACTGCCAACTAATGTATGTAATCCCCCAGTCTGTCAACTAATATATCTAATCCCCCCAAACTGTTAACTAGTATATCTAATCCTCCAGCCTGTCAAGTAATATAGTTAATCCCCCCAAACTGTCAACTAGTATATCTACCCCCAAACCTGTCAACTAATATATCTAATCTCCCAGCCTGACAACTAATATATCTATCCCCCCCTTAGCCTGATAACTAATATATCTAATCCCCCCAAACTGTCAACTAGTATATTTACCCCCAAACCTGTCAACTAATATATCTATCCCCCCTTAGCCTGTTAACTAATATATTTAATAACCCCAAACTTTCAACTAATATAACTAATCTCTCTCCAGCCAGCCAACTAATATATCAAATCCCTCCCCAGACTGTAAATTAATATATGTAATCCCGACCAGCCTGTCAACTAATATATCTAACCCCCCCAGCCTGATAACTAATATATGTAATCTCTCCCCAGCCTGTCAACCAATATATCTAACCCCCAGCTTGATAACTAATATATCTAATCCCCCCCAATCTGTCAACTAATATATCTAGTCTCTCCCAGCCCTGTGAACTAATATATTTACTGCCTCCCAGCATGTCAACTGATATATCTAATACCCCCAATCTGTCAACTAATATATCTAGTCTCTCCCAGCCCTGTCAACTAAAATATTTACTGCCCCCCCCCAGCATGTCAACTAATATATCTAATACCCCCAGTTTGTCATCGAATGTATAATCCCTGCCTCCAGCCTGTCAACTAATACAAATAATCTCTCCCCAGCCTGTCAACTAATATATCTGTTCCCTCCTAGTCTGATAACCAATACATCTAACTCTCAGCCTGTCAACTAATATATCTAATTCTTTCCCAGCCTGTCAACTAATATATCTAATCTCTCCTCAGCCTGACAACTAATATATCAAATCCCCCTGGCCTATCAACTACTATATATAATCTCTCCCCAGCATGTCAACAATCTGGTTTTTGAATAGATATGTATATATACCCCCACTCCTAGTCTGTCAACTAATATATCTAATCCCCTTGATCCCAGACTGTCAACTAATATATCTAATCTATCCCCAGTCTGTCACATGTGCCCTCAGTCTCACCAAATATCTTTTGAGAGCCATTGCAAGGAGAAATGTGCCTTTAGCTAGCTGCATACTCCACTTCAGCCATGCTACTATCCTATGTGCCCTGCATTTACGGTGTGGCTGGATTTGAGAAGGGGATATGATGTCATAATACACATAAAAAATAGAGATGCTTTCTGGTTAGAAAATAAATGACACAGCAGGTTATGGAAAGCTAATATAGTGAATGCTAATGTGTAACTTTGCAGGTTTTGCTTTTAAATGAATCCTTTTTGTGAGCCTCCCTTTTTTGGTATTTTCTTAAAATCACCTTTTTTGGATATGCATTTAAAAAAAAGTAAGACTTATTTTATTTTTTTTAGTTGACAGGCTGGGGAGAATTTAGATATATATTAGTTGAAATATTTGGCAATTTTGGCTATGGGCAGAGCTGAAGCAAAGTTACTAGGGATGTGCATCGGGAAAATGTTCGGTTCGGCATTCCAAAATTCGGGACTTCAGCACTTTGGTTCGGCACTTCAGAACTTCAGCACTTCAACAGTAAGGAACTTCACCAACTTCGGCAACTTAGGAACTTCGGAATTTCGGCATTTCAGAATTTTAGAACTTCGGCACTTCAGAATTTTAGAACTTCGGCACTTCAGAACTTCTGC